CGCCCGCCACCTCCGGTGTTGCACTGCAACGTGCCAGTTGAGAGCTGCAGCATGTCTGGGTGAAGGCCTGGCATGCTAGCTGTGATGCACCTTGAGTCACTCTCCTTTTCACACTCCCAAACAAAACAAATCTGTGTCAGAGACCGCTGGCTCGCAGAAATAAATCTTAACCGGACTGCATGATGGAGCTGCAGAAAGAGAGAAAGAGAGAGAGAGAGAGAATACTGAGCAGAGACTGTGTGAAACAGAGAGGCATAGTTTTCTTTTACCAGTTTATTAGAAACCAAAGCTTTAGGCCTTCAGCAAGAAAGGAGATGGAGGGAGATGAATAATATGGGCTTCACAAAGCAGATAATTATCACTCAGACAATAAAGAAACAGTGCAAATGTACTGGACACAGACGAGACGTATGAAAGCATTGTAGGGACAAATCAATGGCAGCAACAACATGTAGCACTAACAAGCGATTTGGAATCTTCTGGACGTTTTCTCTCTCCTTCATTTTATGATTTTTGCATTAACCTGTACCACTTGAGAACGAGGAAAAAAGGTCGTCCTGTAAGACATGGCGATTTTTCAGCTGCTCAATGTTTGAATATGAAAATTTCTGCTTAGTTTTTTAGTGAAAAGCAAATGCAGCCAGGTTTGTTCACGGAGGCAGTTTTTGTTCTTTAGAAAGGTCTAAAATTTGGGAGAAATAATTTGCTAGCCATGAAATTTACATTTGGTCCAAGTTAATATGGTCTATGGGTACATCTCTAATGCAAATACATTCTACTGCTCCAGACTTATTGTTAAAAAGAACTTTACATTCCGTGCTGAGACAAATAAAATCTTAGTGTTATGCTGATGTAGATTCCAAGTCATACACGAGGTCTTCAGGATTAAAGGCAAGACTTCTTTACAAAACAAGAGAATCCATTTGTAATGACAACCAAAAACTACATCAGCAAGAATACCTACTCTCGTCTGTCAAGTATGGTGGTGGAGGTGCGATAATTTGGGACTCTTTGAGAACCATGCAGTCATTGATTTGACCCCAAACGCCTCTGTATATCGAGGCCACATTGTCTGCTGAAGGTTGGCCTGAATTGGGCTACCAACAGAACAACGGTCTCAAGCACAACAGCAAATCTCTGACAGCAAGGCTGAAGAAAAAAATAAGAAAAATAATCAAGACACTGCCATAAACTCCCTTCCCTTTGGTAGGATTCATTGAAATGAAGTGAAGCAATGCTTTAACAGCATTGAGAAAACAGGAACTTCAAGTTCTTCCTTTAGAAGGTGTTTAGAAGTTAATTTTTCTATACAGCTCTAGCCATTTTAGATTGATCTTTCTTTAACAATAAGAACACAGTTGAATATTCAGTGATTCTTTTCAGAACAAGAACCTTGCTGGATGATGGGGGAGTTGGTGGCCATCTCTCGTGTCTGTCTGAAGCGGTCATTAGCCATCAAGGTAATGACCGCTTCACAAGCTAATGCCCTATGATGAACTGGTTTCCAGTCCATCATAGGTTAATAAAGAGACACATTGAACGAACAACCATACACACAGACACATCCTTATATCAAAGAGCATGTATCAAAGTTGCCAGTCTTAAGCGCATATAGTTGGACTGTAGACAAAGCCAAAGCGCCCAGGAGAACATTTGGAACTTGGTCAGGATGAGAACCCTGAAAGGGAACAATGTGACCAACTCCACTACCATGCAGCCCTTATTTTTTATTTTTTGTCATGGCCTGACGTAAAATCCTTGAATGGACAAAGGTTTACTTCCTTTTTATTAAAGCTGTGGTTTTCTTCATCTGTTTGTGTTACCCAGCCTTGATCCCTTCTTTTATGTTCAGAAACTTTTCCTGGGTGTGATAAATGGATTGGGAGTGCACAGTTTTCCAGGTCACAGCCCTCATGTACGCAGTCGCTGATAAAGAGACATTTACTGAACCTTTAATATTATCTGTGTCACTTGTGACCTTGCTGCAGGGAATAGGTTCCCCCTGCAAGTCTCTCTACATATTGCTAGGTGTCATTGCTCGGTTTGACCATTAGACAGCTTGCAAATGTGGAGATATGACAGAGGAAAAAGAGATTACATCTCTGCAGGGAGCTTCGAACAATAGCTTTTCAATAAATGTCAACAGAAGAGAATAGCTTATGGACATTTCTAATGGGGAGTCTTATAAGTTGGGAATATTGGTGTTTGTCCAAATATTAGACAAAACATAACTGAACAAAATACACATGGTGCGCTTCCTAATGCTGCACACTGTGGCACACAGAGGGGAGTCTTGCCTTACCACCAGGTGGCTGCTTTGTGGAGATTGTTTGTTTCACTTAGCGCTTGTTTGCATCTCGGATTAGTGCTGCAGTACAACTGCCACTTTGACGTAGTTGCAAATCGGCCTGTGATCAGTGCAGAAAATGAGCATGGCTCGGTTTTATTCCCTTCACTTTAGTTAAAGGAGAGAAAAGATTTCAACTTGTTTCAAAGCCAGAATACGACTATTTGGTTCCAATCGAGTTAAGCATTTCCTACTTTTACATCAGTTCCACGATAGCGAATGCAACTTCAATGTCTATTTCATGTATCTGTGCAAGAATAATTGGAACAGCGAGGGGAAATGCAAAAGCTTCTTCCGCATCATTTGTCATAACAGAAAGGAATACGGTGAACAATCCAACTCTGTAATGGTTTTGCCTGCTGACTTCAGTTTGGTGAATAGGTCTGTGACATTCTGCCTGCTTAATAAGTGGGCACAGCTTGCCAGTTCTCTCCCCGATTCAGCCTCACCAGACATCTAATAGCAGTCTCTGTGATTTCAGGGGATTTCCAGCCTCTGAATGGTCTGCGTCTGTGACTTGTCATTAAATTTCTAATGGTGGCTGTTTTCCTCATTCACAGCTACTGTAGGATGTGGAAGAGTTCAGACAAATCTCCACTGCTTCAGGCTTCAGTCTTAGATTGTAATTTCTACCCAGATGTAAAGTAGCCAATCTTAAAATAAAAACAGTGCACGCTGCACTATTTGGTTGCACTACTTCACACTACCTCGACCAAAAGCTGTTCGGCAAAGAGGATTTTCTTTTTTTCTTTTTCCTTTTTTTTCATGGGTGTAGCCCCAAACCTCAGCTCTACTGCTTGACCCACACAGAATGCATTTTCCTGGCAAATGCGGCGCCACATACAGGAAAATAAATAAATATTTAGTGTTAAGAAACATTGTTACAACAAAAGAAAAACAAACATTACCAAATAGACCAGAAATGTAATGTTCTGGAAGGTCTTCAAATAATCCTAATTTAAAGTAGCATATATGAGAAGGAGGAACAAAATGTTAAGCAATTTTCATCCACTTAAGTTTTGTGAATGAAGAAGTGTGTTGTTTGAGAAAAAGACAGTATTTATACTACAGAGAGTTGGTCATGTTACTTGTGTCCGTTTTCATTTTTCAATATGGGGAATGTAAACACAGTGTTGAATTTCGCCATTCACAGAGAAGAGCAGATGGTTGCAAGTCAGATAATTTACACATTTAGGTTTTTGGTCTTAATATTATCTTGTTTGACCTCAGACACTCAACCCAGAAAAATGATGTTGGCACCAGTGAGCACTCTCCTTAATGGAGCCATTTTCATTTCCTGGATCTCTGAGAGTTTTCCCTCTACATAGGACGACAAAATTCAGGAGTGTGATGTTGAACTCGAACTAAACCTCTTATGTTTCTGCTCTATTAAATGTGTGGACTGTTACCGACAATGATGACATGAAATGATATAAGCAGTGACTAAATGACCTCTGGATGTTGCAGTTGTTTTAAGGACTGTTATTTATTTTCTCTTTTGTTTGCAAGCATATTTCTTGAGTTTGCATTGTGAATAATAGCATTCAAATTGCTAAAACTGAGTTTAAACAGTGAAACAGTAACAGTATAAGAGACAGCAATGGTAAAAGGAAAAGTAAACTATTTGTTTATTTACAAAAAGAGAAATTAAGTTTTTTTAAACAATAATAAGATAATCTTAAGTAACAAGACAGCAACACCAATCAAAGGATATTAGTTGCAAGATAGTATTTTTTGTTTTTTTTTACTTAAAATGCACCATAGAATATACAGAGAAATTGACAATTTCACACTTGACTTGTTGGTTGGAAACTCAAAAATCCCAATCTTTATCAGTCAGTGAATGCCTCATACCTGAATCCTACCTGAGGCATTTACTCTTTGGTGTGAAAGTTTGGGGAAGAAGGCGTTAACACCAGCTTTTGTGAGGACCATTGAGGTGGTGAGTGTGTGACAGATCTGAAACAATTAGGAGTGACAGAAAAGCAAACAAAAACAAAAAAATAAATAAATAAAGAGTACTTTTTGAAAGTTCTTTATTAAAATTAGTCACATTCAAAACCATCTAGTCTTCCTACAGTTAGAGGTCATTTACTATATCAGGAGCAGAAGATGTCCCACCATACATGAGAGGTTTAAATAAAAATGAAAAGATTTGGAATTGACATTTTGAACTTTTATTTTAGTAGAGGTTGTGATTTGTCCAAATCATAAACATCAAGTGATTATTCCCTACACAATACAGAGCCTTACCTTAACTCTCACATTTGTAAAAAAGATACCAAAAATTACAAAACCAGAAGACTTCATGACAGACAAAAGTTGAAAACCTAAAAGACAAAATTTGCAACTTTGCTGTAAACATTAAGTTTAGCTGATAGCTACTGAAGTCAGCCTTTCAGCTTTTTTCAGCAGACAAAAAGTCTCTCCAAGTCGGTATTCCAGTTTGTGCAATTTATGGTCAATGGAAACACATCTACCGATTAGCGAAAAATTTGAATACCAAGGTTCTGACCAATCCAGTCATCTGCCAGGACATCTCTAGCTGAACATTTTCAGATTGTGCCTAAAGGTATGAACGTGACTTGATGAAACTCAAACTGTGACTTGTGTTTTTTTTCTTTGTCTTTTTTTTTTTTTTGCATCCATTCAGGTACTCAGGACCTCTAAAGTGCAGAGAGTGAATGTTCCCTCCCTGCGCAGTCATGTGACTGACCTGGCTCTTCCATTTTACGGTGGGATCTTTTCCTCCTCATGCTGACTAACTCAGTCTGCCCCATTCTCACCATGAGAGATCTGACCTCCGTGCCCTCATACTGGCGCTGCCGTCGTGCCGCATGAGCGCCTCCCTCCCCTCCAGCAGTTACTGCACGGAATGGCCTCTCTGGACCTGCCATACCGCTGTCCTCGCTGCGGGGAGCACAAGCGCTTCCGAAGCCTTTCGTCCCTACGAGCCCACCTGGAGTACAACCACACGTACGAGACCCTTTATGTCCTCTCCAAGTCCAACAGTGTATGTGACGCCGCCGCTCTGCTGCCCCTAGTGGCCGAGGGAGCTCTCCTCACGCCCGCCAACAACAACGACCCCTTCGAAGCGCTCCGGCCTTCGGCTCTGAAGGAGCGCCACTTTCCCTGCCGGGAGCTTCCCTGTGCCGACGACCTCAGCTTGACCCCAGCTAACTCCAACTCTGCGGCCAGGTACATTCCTAATGTGGAGTTCCCCCTGGGGGAGATCTTCATGAAGAAAGCGATGACATCCACGGATCCAGGCAGCCATGGAAACCCCAGCACTGCTGTGGCTGTGGCTGCCAATGTGGCTGCCAGTGCTGTAGAGGCGGCTTACGAGGAGGGCCTGGCGAGGCTGAAGGCGCGGGCGTTCGAGCGGCTGGAGCTGGACGAGAGGCTGGAGAAGTTGTCGGAGGAGGTAAGTGGGATTGCCGCTGTTATCAGAATAAACTTTATCAGCAGGAGGTGTATTAACAGGCTGACTCTGGTGGCCATGTACTTGCTCAAAGTGCAAGCCTGATTTCTGGAGGGGGTAATTGCAAAGTGCAGAAGCAATCAAGGGAAATACTTATCCCCTTCCCTCCTTAGGCTGGACATTAAACCGTCAACAACACTTCTCCTGACACTCTTCTGCTTTTAAAGAACCTTGAGCTCAGCAGCAGACAGGAAACTAAGGAGCTCATTAGAGCCACAATCTGAATGTGATCCAGTCCTTCTAAAGGTAGCAATCTTGGAACAGCTAATATGTTGCATGTTGGAGGCATAGCGTCTCTACACCTTTAATCAGAAACTCTCATAAACAAAGTGAATATGCAGGAAATTTGAGGAGGTTACCCAACCACCAGAAGTGCATATTTCTTAGCCTGTGGGAAAGTAGATTTTCGATGTGAGCACACTAATACTCCTATTTATTTATTTACTATTTATTTTGTACTTTTGATTGTGTTGGGGTTTTTTTTTGCATAAGGAAGAAGCTTTCAGCTTCAATATTTCTGTAATTTGTCATACAACCAAAAAGTAAAATTTTTTAATAGACCTACATACAGAATTGTAAAATGAAAAGAAAATTGGGTTTTAAAATACTTTGCAAATGGAAATCTGAAAAGTGTGGTGTATATTTCACATCCCTATTTTGTAGAACATTCTCTGTGACTCTAGCTGCTTTTTGGTGTTTACTTTTTCACCTTTGCAGATCCAGAAATTGAAATCTTTGCCCATTCTTTCCCAAATATTTCAACCTCCATCAGTCTTGATGGAGAATGCTGCGAACGTCAGTTTCCAAGTGTTGCCACAGATTCTTATTTGGATTTACATCCGGAGTGTGATGGGGCCATTCTTACACATGAATGTACTTTGATCTAAAAAAAAATTTGGCACTCTTGTTCTGCCGTAGATGAACCTCTGCCCCAGTCTCAAGTGTTTTTGCAGAAAGTTTTCTCTCGCAATTGTCCTCTGTTAAGCTCTGTCCATTTTTTTAAAATCAACTCCAACGAGCATTTCTTTCTTTGCTGAATAAAAGCATCCCCAAAGCATGATACAGCCACCGCCATGTCTGAAACATGCATGGAGTCCAATACAGTTAAGGTTGGATCTCATCAGATCAGGACACAATCTTCCACATATTTGCTTGAGGAAATAAAACTATTTGTGGTTTTCTTTCAACAACAAATTGCATGACTACATTAAATTGATTACACCGTAAAACTGTAAATCAATTCCTAGCAGAAGTCCTTAATTATTGATGTGGTAGTTACTTTGTGTTAAATTTGTTTACATATCATGCCGATTTTTTTTTTTTTTTTTTCTCTCCAGTATGTAAATTTCAAAAGGACATGAAGCAGCTGAAACTGTCGGCCTTCTTGTTCTGTAGGTGGAGCAGAAAATAGCGGCCCGTGTAGGCCGTCTCCAGGCGGAGCTGGAGAGGAAGAGCTCCGAGCTGGAGAGGGCCAAGCAGGAGAGCGAGCGGCTGAGCCAGGAGAAACAGGACCTGGAGGACAAGGCCTCTGAGCTCTCTCGGCAGGTGGACGTCTCCGTGGAAATGCTGGCCAACCTCAAGCAGGATCTGGTGAACAAGGAGGCGGAGCTAAACCACAAACAGCAGTGAGAGGAATTTCATTTTTCAAAGATTTCATTTGCAACAAAGTCAGTTTATCTTATTTTGTACAGGAGTAATTATTTTATTTTTTTTTCTAAATTTTACATGGATTGCACTAAATAGACTGCGACAGACTGGTGACCTGTCCAGGATGTATCCTTGCCTCTCGCCCGAAATGTTCGCTGGACTTAGGCACCAGCAACCCTCCTTACCCCACTAGGGAAAAGGGTGTATAGAGGATGGATGGATGCAGTAAATAGGAACATTTAAGAATTGTCAGACAAAATGGCACCTTATTTTTCAAATGATTACTAATGGGAGTTACCCGTTGTGTGGGCGACCTCCTGATGTACAGCCACAGCTGCTACCTGCTCATTTCAAATGAAGACCAAAGCAAACTGCTGCTTTACAAATTAGTGCACAAACAAGTGGAGTTGTTAATAACGAGGAGCTTGTAATTTACCAACAACACTATAAAAGCTTTTCCTCTTGGTACAACACAGGCCCCATTAGCATGAAATGGCACAATTATTGTGGGGAAAGCTCTTATTAAAACAGAACGTTAATCAGGACAAATCTGATTTCAAATAAAGCCAATCAGATTTCTCTCTCAGTACATTAATTTACATACAGTTGTGTTCATTTTTTTTTTCATTGTTAATGGGAGACAAACAAGACAAATAACATTATGAAAATCTACAGAGCCAGAAACGGCAATCTAGCACGAAATAATTTTTCAATATTCAGGCTTTATCTTAATATACCATAAACTTTATAGAACATAATGATAAAATATGTAATAAGTTTTAACCTTTTAAATACAATCAGAGACTCGGACAACACCTAACTGAACAAATCAGAAGTTTGTTAAATGCCAAACAAAAAATTAACAACAAACAGAAAGATGATACGGTATGAGCCTGCATGTGAACAAGCATTCTTTAGTTTCCAGTGGTCTCAGGAGCAGCCATTTAACCACAGCTTGCTAGAGAAAGTCCTCACCGCAGGCTACTTTTTTTAGGCTTAAAATAAACACGGCACATGTGACCGAGAGCAGATGAAGTTGGAGACAGCAGGCAGAGATCAGAGTCAAAGTCATTACACAATGACTTTACGTACCCATTTTCAACCAAAACATTTGTTAATTTCTTTGCAAGCCACACAGCGATCGCATATCATGGTGCCTTGACAACTCCATGAGTCCGTCTGTTGCACAGCAGCCTGCAACCTTCTAAAATTTTCAGGGTTTTTTTCTTCCTCCTTCTGCAAGATTATAGGCCAAACAGCAGCTTTCACAAAACCTAAGCAAAGCCGTATTCAAACCTTTTTCCTTCAGAAATAAGTAAACATAATATATCTGACTCTTAAAACTCAGTAACTTTTGCTGGGCTGTTTCAATTGTCACAGGTGAGTGAGTGATGTGCTTAAGAGTGTTAGTTAAAGAAAACTTGATAGAAACTGCAAAAAGACATGAACTTTCAGCCTGACAATGACCCTGAACATACAGCTGATATTTCAATGCAGTGGTTCAGATTGAGACATTAGTGGTGTGTTAAAATGGCCTAGTCAAATATCCAGATCTAAAAGGAATTAGAAATCTGTGGCAAGACTTGTACATTGATGTCCACAGATGGTCAACTTTCAGTCTGGCTTTTTTTTTTTTTTTTTTTTTTTAATTGAAGAACCCTGCAAAACATTCAGACTCATATCTCAAAACACTTGCAGCTTCTTTAAGGTTTTGTAAATTAAGCTTTGTGTTGCACAATTAGCCAAACAATAATGGTACAATGTGCTGCACCTTTATTGGCACCCTGTTTAAAGAAACGGGTAAAGAAAGGGTAAAATTAAACAAATCAGTTCAGCTGTATTAGCTCACACTAATACAACTTTAACGCTGTCTTTTTTTTTGTTTGTTTTTTTTGTTGTTGTTGTTTTACCATAATGCCTTGGTTCAGGCAATATTATCCTCCAAAGAAAGACCCGTTCCCCTTGTTTCCCTCACCTCACCCTTGTTGATGTTTTAATTCAGCAGATGAGTATTGCATCTGTCCTCTTCCTCTTGTACACCGGTGCCCTTCAGGGCCGATCAGGTGCTGATTGGATGGTTGAAAAGAAGCAGCTGGGCAGGTAGCAGCAAACTCGTCTCACTGCGTCCTGCCAGTCTCTCCATAAAGCTGCCAAGCTCCTTCATGAACTAGTGCCACTTCTGCTCTGTAAATGGACTTGGACGTAAATCATGGCATTATGAAGCAAGTTGAACGCGATTTGGAGCCGTCTGGCAGTCTGGCACTGAAAGTGAGAGCTGAAATGCTTTCAGAGCTTTTATTGAAATTAGTCCCAGACTGATTTATTGTTTGTTTCCAGACACTGATGTTATTTTTAGTTGCAACCTGTAAGCTGTGCAAAAAAAAAAAAAAATGTTTTTACCGGAGAGTAAGTCTTGTAACCTTCTCTGTCCGATCCATTACGTTTGTTAAGAAACAAGCAAAATTAAATTTATGTCTCATTTAGACTAATTGATCAGAGATGTCGTGACTGAGGTCCAAACACTGATATTAGTAAAGCTCTCACCTTTGTTTGCTGATTGTTGGCCTTAAATGCAGACAAAACCTTGGAGTGTACGTGGTTACATGCAGGTCTGGCATGAAGAGAACAGATCGATTAGAAGAGACAGAGGAACGGAAGGAACCAATGAAGAACAATGAAAACCAATGAGTTTATATACAGAAGGAAAGAGCAGAGATTGACATTGAAAGCAGGTGAATTAATCGAGATGTATGTGAAGCAGCTGTGGTAGAATGACAGCAGGAAACTTGAGGGGAAAAAAGAATATAAAGTATCTGAACTAAGACTCAGCAAGAGCCACAAACGTAGGAAAAAATAAGAGCAACACTAACCTCAGAGAAATAAATCCAAATGAACAAAGATCAGAACAGAAGAATAAACCAAGAAACCAAACACAAAGGAAGGAACTGATGTGGCAACACCTAGTGCGTAATGAACACAGAGAATGGAACAAGGATGGCAAGACCTGCAGAATGTAGTTAAACCAGAACTTCACATATAGTGAATAAAAAAAAAACATTTTTTTTTTGCATTGTATGAAGTTAAATTAGACCAAACGTCTCATGGTTTAGGTCAGTTAAAATTTCCAAAATGATTGGTATGTTCTAAATGACACAATAATGAGAGAAAGAATGTGTTAGAGATTTATTTATTAGTGGCTTCCACCTTGCTGAGTGGCCTTTTAGCTCAGGTAAGTACAAGACACATTTTACGGTGGATAACGGCGCCTTGTCTCCGGCTTCAGCAGGAAGCTGGAGACAGTTGGATTTATGTTGCAATAAATCCAAGCTTCATGTAGTCCAGAGAACTCCAACGTACTTCACACTGTATTAAGTCATTCACCCAATCACCCAACCATGCACACAATATAATAAGGTACTGTATTATAGCCACAGCTGCTGCCTTGGGGCTGTCTGACAGAAACTAGCCTGACATGCACCAGCGCCACCGGCTGTGTGAAGCGTCTGACCCAAGAACGCAAAAAGACAAACAGATTTGTTTGTTTCTTGTGTCAAACAAGAAAGCACGTGTTTCCTTAAAATACATCCACAGCTGTGCGTCCAATCAACTCACATGTCAGTTTGTCCATTAGAAGTTTCCAAAAGCATACTTTCATAACAGTAATAGTAAAATATTGTTTTCTGTTTTATTTATAAATTAAAAATTGAGTTCTCTCAAAAATAAGAGGGGGGTCCTGCAGGTTGTGAAACAGAGGCATTTAAAAATAAAACCTAAGTGAAAAAGAAATGTCTTACTTTTCTGAAAGGCTAAGTCTGAAAAGACGTCTTTACACGACAAACCGTGGCTCCTTTCATTTTTTTATCTCTTTGTTGACTCTTCTGCATATTTAAATATAGAAGTGCTTTCTATCATAAAATGCTAAATTTTTATTCAAACAGCTGTTTCAAAACTAATAACATGCAAAAAAAAGGTTAAACTGCTGAAACATTCTGTACAAACACAGCTCCACACATCACTACTCTGTGTCTAGAAATAATGCATGGGCTATTTACCAACCCCCACTAATGGCATTGTTAAATACCATGTAGATAACAAACAGACATTCAAATGAACACTAAATGCATTAGAGCCTATTGATGATTAATAGAAGACTATAATTATCAGTGTCAGATAGCAGATAGTGGTGTCATCTGTTGACTGCAAAAACAAAAATTGTTTGGTTTATAAAATGCCAGCAGTCAAAGATGGCTGTTGCTGTTTGACAGTGTGAAGCATCCAGCCAGCCTGGTTTCTTTAAGAAACATTATTTACATCGACACAATGATCAGCTTGAGCTTTGGGGATTGCTGGGTTATTTGTGAGCATTATAGGCCATTACCTTTTGGTTTGTGGTGACTGTTTAGTTGAGAAGGCTGGAACCTGGATCTCAGCATCTCCGATTCAACACCTGAATCAAATGAATGGCTCATTACTCGGCCTCTGGTGGGCTAAAAGCTGCCGATGAGCCATTTGGTTCAGGCGTGTTGGAGAAGGAGCGCATATAAAACCTTGAACAGGGCCGATTTAAAAACATTCCACATTTCAAAAGAAAAACATGATGGACAGATGTTCAGTCACAATGATGAAAGAAACTTAATGATGTATTCAAAATGCATGCTTGTGTGGACCCTGTGTGGATTAGAGAAATGTTGTAATACATCCAAGCTTGTTCACCAAATTCTTGTTTTTTAATAATTCTAGAAGTTGTAACTTGTTAAACCATTGCATCCTGAAAAACGACCTATTGACCTGGCTTTATGCACAGATCAGTGTAGAAAAAAAAAAACTCCTGCTAACACTTTACCAACAGGACGGTTCCTGTGCAAACTTTAGCTAAGATGTGAATAGGCTACCTAAATAGCACGTAAGCATTTTTTCATTTCAAAACTATCTGTGAGAAAGAAAATACACAAAGACACCTGCCACTTTAAAGGCTACATTTAATTGTAATTTCTAGATACAGTAAACCCAGTGACACTAAAATACATAGAAGTTTCTTATGTATTTTGAATGAGATCTGCTTTTCTTTTATTTCTCTTATGAAATGAAAAACTGCTGCTCATGTGTTTCCTGGCTGAATGAGAACGAAATTGTGAAACTGCTTCCTTAAAATCCTTTCCTTAAAATCCTATCCAAAGCAACCGCTTCTCCAGCGTGCACACACACAAACACACACACACACACACACACATATGCACACGCACGCGGACTCATGCACATATCATGTGTCTGTGTCTCTGAGGAAAAGCTGGCAGTGAAACAGGGAGCTTATTCAGACTCTAAAGTACATCATAGGTCTGAGGTGGAAAAAGGGCATCACAGTAAGAACATTTACTGCCAGCCCGATGACTAGGCAGACTCCAATGAGCTGACTGCCTTTGAATAACACATTGAATAAACATTTTTCTTTGACTCATCCCCAAGTTTTTCAAGGTCACAAAGACATCAGCGGCCGCTAAGGCCGTCAGAAACTCCAAACAGGAGTAATGTTTCACATCAGAGGTCTAACTTCTGTGACTTTTACGTTCACAAACAGCTTTTTGAACCTGAATTTTGCCTTCAGCAGCACTGGGAATAAAATGACACCCATCTGATCATTTGTCCTGAGCTCAAAACCTTTGTAGGTAAGGATGATGAGCAGGCACAACGCCTCACGCACAGCTGCTCATTTATTACTTTGTATGCAGCTGACATTGTGGAGAGATTCATTCACAGAGCAATTATGCACCACAAACAGCTCTTTAAATAGTCACTGCATATACATCATTAAGATAAAACTCCCTGGGATGAAAACAAACAGAAGTTGCTCGGGCATGGCTGTTAACTGGCTTAATAGCAGCTGGAAAAATTAAGAACATCTGGAATCATAAAAAAAAAAAAAATCTACGGCTTGCAGACAAATGAAAATGCTGGAACATTTTAATTTCAGCCTTTAAAATTTTCCCTCAGACTTTAGGAAATCAGTTCATTTTATCTGTCTTTGCAATTTGCTGGATGATCAAAATCCGTTCAAGCAAAACCCATCACTGGTTATTATTGGATATAATTAGTTCTACTGCATTGTTATGCAATGGAATCAATAAATAAACACAATTTTGTGACTATTAAAAAATATCGGCTCCAATTCACTAAGATATGATCCTCTGCCTGACTTAACAGACTCCTCAAGGTGAAGAGTTTTTTCTTTTTGTTGTTTTTAGTTTTTTTAGAGAAGCAGCCAATAGGTCTATGATAACTCCAGACAAGTTTCAGAGATCTCTGCTGGTTGTGAAATCTGACCTTTATGGAAATGTGGCAAAAAAGAAGCCATTCTTGCAAGAAAACGACTGTGTACAAACCAATGCAGGCCGCATAGCAAATGAGTGGAGGAAGGTGCTCGTGTCGGATAAGGACAACTTTAAATTTTGGGGTATCTTGTGAAAGGCTATGTGGTGGTGGCAGCACCATGATATGGGGATTTTATTTCTCCCTCAGAAACATGGAATGGATTTGGAGTCAGAAAGATTGATATTGAAAAATTTTAGCTCCAGGGTCATTATTCACTGCAATTTAGTAGTTATCCATAACAAATAACTACTGGATTGCAGTGAATAAAATGTTGTATTTTATCTTTGTGGAAAGTATTGCCCAAACCTAGTTAGTCCACAAGTGGTTTTGATAGGAGAATAATTTATTTTGCAGATTCCGCCACTGTTTTCTTTAGGAATATTTGGAAAGCTTTTCATTATTAAAAATATTACTCATTAATTATTTGTGGAAGAATGCTATGCATAAAGTATTAGGTATCAACGGGCCTCATTTAATCGGCTTTTTTATCTGCAGGTATGTGACTGTATCTGGAGTGCGCAATAGTCGTGACAATCTTTAGGGAATGTTCTGTGAACAGCAAGTATTTGTATTCTGACAGTACAGACTGGCTTTCTGTCGAGATGAAGGCCCTTATGATCGAATTTGATGGATAACTCGGACTGAAGTGAATGGATGGCCTGGTCGATATTGGGCTACATTTAGATGAGGATTTATGAGCAGAGGGACCGTGTGTGTCTGTGGTTAGCAATAAGAAACTAAGACGAGCGTCTTACAAGTTTTGTGAAGCTATTTGAAAAGTGAGGAAAAGAAAAAGAATGGATAACTCTGTCTTTTTTGGGGGTGTTTGTCTTTCCAGTTCTCATTGTTAGGATTGACATGTAAGGCTGAAGTAACGTAAGCCACAAATATCCTGATGTTACTGAATCGCAAGGCAGACGTGTAGAAGTGTTTCAGGTGCATAAGACGGTGCGAACATGTGTGTTTAGATGTACTTCAGAGATCTGTGTGAATATGTCTGAGATAAAAGTGTCCATACGTCATCATAAAATCTCTGTGCTTGTGTAGAGATATGGATTGAAACAAGAAGACTGCATCATTTCATCCCCTTCACTGACAAACGTCCTGTTTTTTTCTGCTTCCACATGGCTGCAGATTTTCACCTGTTGTTTCAGCCGCTGCAGTATGTTCTTTTTTTTCCCCCTTCCCAGTCATTGTTCCCTTTGCTTTAACAGACACAATCCACTGTCTCTCACCCTCTGCTTTCTCACATACTTCTTCTTGCATAAGGATAAAAAAAAACCCCACAATGTTCTATTTTCTCCCTTCCTGGATACAATAAACAAGGTCAACCAATATAAAATTGTCAACGTTATGAACGGTTTTATGCTGCTAAAATATTATGTCTGCCAGACATTTCATCCTTTCATACTGTAAGAGGAGGAAAGCATTGGTGACTCCTGTTATCGTCATACGAAGCAAATTTCTGATACAGTTGAATAATTGATGAAGACAAGCTGCATGAATATGCTGATGCCAAAGCACAAAATGCTTTTTTCGCTTACTGGTTACTAACAAAAACACCTTTTTCTACGTTTCCTCTATGTTGCTTTCACTGGTTTACATAAATGGGGTGAATTATTTGTCCCTGTCCTTACACTAGAATTTTTAAATAACATAAAATAAAATGTCTGACAAATGATGCAGTAATCTGCTTACCTACATGAGACGTGCTTCATTCCGGCTGCTTGTTGGAAAAAACAGTTAGATTTGCTAATTGTGCTCACTAACCAATCTGACTAGCCAACACTAGTTGATAACGATGTATTTGTCTGTATTTTCAAACTTTCACTGCCAGAAATTTGGAAAATGTCAATTTGTGATGATTTTGGCGAAATACAAATAACAATATGACTTGGGATGCATAAACAAATAATTAAAAAGTCTTACTGCCGCAGGTTCATAGCAGACATAGACTGCAGATAATGAGTAGTTTGTCCAGCCACTGGAAAGAAAGAAAATCATTATGTCCATCTCAACAATCAGGTATTGTTGAAAAAGTTCCTTCTGACTGATGTCTGTTGTATTTTCATAATGATGTGGTCACCTCACACCTCACCAAAGTTTTGCAGTCATTGCCTGAATGCATGGTACCAAAATAGTTTGCAAACATTTATTGGACTTCAAGCAGTTCTGCACACTATGTTTAATTTGTGCAGTGGTAATGATGAATTTGTGATAAACTGTGGGGCCCTTATTTATATGCTCTGATATCTTTTTAGCAGTCAGTGGCTGGACTGTGTTGTGTGTCTGACATATTTTATATAATGTGATAAAATGTTATAGTATGTCACCCTATCTAAAATAAATATTTAAGTTTCAGTTTTTAAATTGACCCACTGAAATAAATTTACTTATTTAAGATTGAATAAAAATGCATATGTATTTTCTAACCATTTGAAACCTCGAAGGGCAAATTTCAGTGAAAGCAAAAAAAAAAAAAAAAAACCCTCCTTAAACAGTTCACTTTCATTTCATTTGCTGATTCATTGTTTTGTTATGCAGCTTTTACGTCTGGCTGACTGTCAGCTACCTTGACTAATTTTGGATTCACAATTCTTGTCAGCTGTGCCTGGAGAGGAGTAAAGTTAACCGTGCCAGACACCAAACTATTTTTATCTCTGAATGTCCCCATTTCATAAGACCTTCATTATGCGTGTTGCTGCTGCTGAGGAGTAGATTCTGGGATGTATGATGTTTCGATGCATCGACTGATGGATTTCGGCTAAACATAAACAATCCAAACTAATGACCGTCATGCTCACAAACAAACAGACTTCTGACCCAGTTTTCATTTAATGGCCGGGACATTTTCAGTGACTCCTTTTTCATCCTCAGTTGAGTTCTCTGCAGCAGCTCTTCTGCGCAGAAAAGAAATGCGCCTGTCTACATTTCAACATCTTAAAAGAAAATATACCAAACAAGTAAAGATTATCAGTTCACATTGGAAGAGTCACCTAAATGTTTAAATGATGTGGTGCCACAAAGATAAATTGTTGTTGCTCCAGTTGCATTCACTTAGAGTATCTGGGATTTACTAGGACAGCTGCTTCTGCCCTCACACACCTGTCCCATTGGGAAATAGCTTCTAGTTTAAAGACTGTCTTTATAAAACTGCCTCCTCCTTCCGTGTGTGCAGGGAGGTTTCCCAGATCGACCAGTTCCTTCAGGAGACGGCGGCACGGGAAGCCAACGCTAAGGTGCGCCTGCAGCAGTTCATTGAGGAGCTTCTGGACCGAGCTGACCGTGCTGAGAAACAGCTGCAGATCATCAGCAGCTGCGGCACCACACCGAATGGCAGCCTGGGACGCTGCAGTCTGCAGGCCTCGAAGGGCACTGGGCGCCAGGTTCGGATCTTTCAACGTATTTTTAGTTTGTGGTCTTAATGCAGTATTCATGCACTCCTGTTGGATCGTTTTGGTTCCGTTTTAAATGTGTTTGAGGGGTAAATAAAACAGCTGGAGTCACAGAGATCAAAATGCTGCTACAATTTATCGGGAACGCTGAACTGTCAATCTTTGCCTCAAACACACACGTATGCATTTTCTAATTACAATGTCAATTTGAATCAATGAGGGTAGTCACAGACGTAGTTTGCTTTTTAAACCTGCAGGTCTTCAGATCTCCTAAAGCGAAAGATCAGTGAGGTTTTTGGATTAAGTTCCTCCAACAGGAGTCCCCAGACGATCTTTTGATCAGCTGATGCTTCCTGAACAAGGAGACTACAGAAACAGGAATCATGATCCTTGTCTGCTTATCATTCAGCACCACATCAGTCAGAACATCGAGTCTCTGCTGCAATTTATCCTTACCATAGAGTGTAATGGACAAAGAGGAGCCTCTGCAGCTTTAGACTGACATCCAGCTCTTTTGTCTCCAGGCTCAGGGCTTGTACTGTGCCACTCTCCCCTTGTGTTTTGCCTTATTACACAATGATGCAAAAAAAAAAAAAAAAAAAAAAAAAGAGAAAGAGAAAAAAAAAATAACAATATCCAAAAGGTCGTTCTTAAAATGACACCTTTTTAAATTATTATCCAACACCTGTGGAGAAAGAGGTGACCTGCTTCATATTCTGCAAATGTGTGTGCTGCCATGGAAACCAACTCCTGCTTTCCATCAAGGTTTTAACAGGATTTTTAATCAGATGTGCTTCAGATCTGCCTGAGACCAAATTTTCTCTTTAGACTCTGTGTGGAAATCCTTTTCTTCAAAGACCATCAGTGACTGTACAGAGGCATTATTAATCCCTCACTCAGTGCAATGTTTTGCCATTGTTCATGATGCACAGAAACTGACAAATTTATTGTCATCCCTTGTAAAGGTGCAAATTAATCCTAAAGTTATGCTTCTCTTTTCTTGCTGCAGCATACTTTCACAGTTTTTTTCCCCCTGACCTTTAATTTTTTTAAATTTGATCAAGCAATTTCCTAATGTCCATATGACTGCTCTATATACTAATTTACAGGCACCTCAAATTAATGAGTTCAACTATATATATTTAAATTTATTAAGCAATTTCTTTGCATTCATACCAATACTTGCATTCTTTAGTTAAAGATTCTAAAAGATAATTTAACAAAAGTCACTAGTGGAATATTTATGAATCCCTTTAAGAAAAAGGTATCTTTTTATTGAAGCCTTACACAAGACAAATAGCTGTTTTGGAGACATGCCAGCAAAGTGTTTTTTCCCTCCTAATGAATGTAAACACGTGCAGTTTGCTAAACTCTAATGGGACTCAAATGAGGATAACATTCAATTTCTTTTGCAACAAACGGTCCAGGGCTATTTGGCATGAAATAAATGGTCAATAAGTGGCACACATTGTTTGCTGCCAGGTACAATTGGAAATCTTTTAAATCGCAATCTGATGGACTGTACAAGCGAGCTATTTTATGTTGTTATCATGTCTTTTGTTAAGTTTATGATCCAAAACATATGGTGAAATCAATACACTTATGGTTCACTGGTCAACCTTTTTCCAAGGCCATGCCAGTCCTAAAACCTAGGTGTTATGGAAAACTAGTGAGGTGAACCCAAGAGAGGAGAGGATGGTGCTATTTTCAGCAAAATAAAAGCTCAGATAACCTGTAAACGCCTGCTACTTACATTTTCAGGACTGTAAAGTTTCACTTCTGTTACCATATTCATTCAGAAATGCAGCGTTACCCATTTTTGATCAATACTGTTGCCTGCATTTAGATGCGTTGTGTTAAAAGTTGAGATATCTCAGTTTCGTGTTTGCACGCATGTGCAGTGTTGTCTGACTTTGAAAAAATCAGCATGACGAGAACAAGGGGTAGAGCTCAAACTGTCTGACACCTTGTAGCGCCGTGAATGGGAAGCCTGGAGATGTTACCCAGGCAGCCGCCCAACTTCACAGCCTCTCTTCCTCCCTCCATCCGGTGGCAGCAGGGTCGCCCTCATCTCCGCGGAGACGGGTCTCACAGCCAAAGATTTATTTGAGGGCTGACACTCGGGGTGGACTTGTTTCCGGCTCTCTCTGTGATTTTAATTCCAGGCTGATTTGAAGTGTTTTCTCACAGAAAACAAAGGGAACACAGCTTGAATCAAATGTCAGCGTTTCCTGAGATTTCTTTGGCTTTGTTACGCCAAGGGTTCGAAGCGGAAACCTACTGAAATTTCATCCAAACCTCTATAGATGAATGCATTATTATTTCGTCCATGTTCTGAAGATTTGCCCTTCTTCTTTTTTTTCATCAGCGTGTCCTGGGCTCAGAGCCTCAGACAGTTTGGTCTATTTCCTGTATAAACCATTTCCACTGACAGGAAGTGGGAAGAAGGGGAAAAAACGAGAAATTGTGCTTGTGTTTGCTTTTCCTCTGAGGCATGTCAGTACACAGACCTACACCTGGCTCTGCTTCACTCATGTCTACGCGCAGTCTCGTGCAAACAGCGAGTGCTTTGGGGATGAGTGATGTGTGGAAGAGTGACGAGAGGAATTTGTTTCAAAGAAAACAGCGTGAGAATCAGCTTTTAAATCCTGGGAACATGCCAAATTGTCATCTGCTCTCAGATCTGCTTTCCATACATTTTACAGTTTATGGATTAAAATATTTATTGTTCAGTTTTTTTTTTTTTTGTTTTTGTTTTTTCAAATGTTCAAATTTCAAACTAACAGCTACCGTCTTGATGATCAGTATGCTGCCTAAATTTTCAGCTAGCCCTGCTTTCATATTATTTGTACTTGATGGGGTGGCATAGAGGGTCAGATTTCTCAGGGCAAGAAGGTTCTGGGGCCTTTCTATCTACAGTCTGCATACCTGTACATGTTCAGTTTCTTCCCACAGTTCAAAAATATACCAGTTAGTTCAAATGGAGATTCTAAATTTGCCTGTAGGGTCAAGAGATTGATTGTCTTGTTTTGTCGTGTGTGTGTGTGTGTGTGTGTGGACTGGTGACCTGTCCAGAGTGTGTCCCACCTAGCACCCATTTACAGCAGACACCAGGTCTGGGTCTTCAGTAGAATCAAACAGATGTAGACAACTGTTGGATGTCCTTTGGATAATCAGACTTAATGGTTAATTAATGAAACAGGCAAAAAAAAAAAAAAAAAAATATATATATATATATATATATATATATATATATATATAT